TATTTATCTTTATAACAATAATAAAATTATTTTTAATATTAATTAGAAAAATAAAATTATTTATCAACTAATATATTTATATTTCAAGTAGTTATATGATATAAGTTATAAAAACTAATATAATATAACACATGTAAGTCATAAGTGACACATATCATTCTAAAATATATTGTAATATATTTTTTTTTTTGTAAAAAAATAAACTAAATTTAATATAATTTTCTCATTAATTTTAAAATTTAAGAATAATTTTTTAACAAGCACCCGTGTAATACACGGGTATTGTACTAGTTTTGTTAGAGAGTAGAAAATGTCGATAGGAATCATAAATCCATGTGACCCATAACAATTCACTCAAATTCCTTTCAGCTCCAGAAGTTGATTAGTTCAACCGAACTATTAAATGCTGCGATCATAGTTTATAAACTCGGCACGGTAATCGAGGGCAGATCTCTGGGTCGTTGAGTTACCGGGTCAATTGTTGAACCGAATAATTAATTTTAAAATTTTTAAAATAATATATAGAGTATTTTTGTCATATAAATATACATAAAAGTAACAAAATTAAATGTTTTGTGTATAAAATTTATACATTAAAGTGTTAATAATATGTATCTCATGATAATATTACCATATAAATATATATATAGTTTTATTTTGCAAAAAACAAAAAAAAAAATTAAAAAATATATATGGGCCGGGTCAACTAGGTTGACCTGGTCGAGTCAATGCACCGGGTCGGCCAGATCAAGGCCGGGTTGGCCGGGTTTGACCGGGTCTTTTGTTGCCTGGTCCAAATAGCTCATCCGAACTGGTTCCGACTCCTGGTCGGCCGGGTCCCGGGTCGACCTGCCGGGCAGCTCAAGGTCAAAAAAAACTATGGCTGCGACCTGCGACTGCACAATAGAATAATAATGGAAATTACAAACAGAATTTGACCATTTAACTTATGTAGAGATTCAGTTTATTAAAAATCTTGTCAATGTGGGAATTTTTAACCTTAATTTAAAGTTCAATGATAATAATACGTACAATTTTGTGGAATCTCCTTTGACTTTTTATTACTTAGATACTTTAAACTGCTTTATATTTAAAGGTGTAGTGATTGCCTATTAATTTAGCCCGATTACATCTAGCATAGTAGCATTGTCTTATTCAATTATTTGTCAAATGTGAGATGAAAAAAAAAAAAAAAATAGATGTCATGTTGCCTAATTCAAATAATAATCAAAATAATCTCTAGTTGTGCATAGTATAATTCTTCTTTTAGATTAATTATTTGTTGAATTAAAACAACAGGTAGAATAAAAACTTGAATGAAAATGTAACATGTATTAAAGTATCAATAGCAAAAGATCCTCTAAAATTAGATCCTACCAGCCCACACCAAAGTCAGATTCTATGAATGTGTGTTAATCTAACATCTCAAACCTGAATGTAGGACTCAGTGCAGATGTAAATAATAGACAGTCGAAAGTATAGCATTTCACCAGATTAACAATATATGTATTTCGGTTTGAAAAAAAAAAAAAAAAATACGAAGAGTTAACCCGCCTAACAGTTAGACCTCCTTAACACACCTAAAAAGAATACCTTAACAAAAACCACCTCCCTTAACTTCTCAGGCTCTTGAAATCTGCAAATATGGTTTTCCAAATCAAATCTCCAAAATGACGGGTTAAAAAAAATAATAATAATAAAATTCCAAAGATGGTTCGATTATCCATTACTGTCTCCTGCTGAAATAATCCCTTTAAGTAGGAAAACTGTAATCTCAAACACCAATAAACGATACATGATATGAACTCACAAACTGAATTTAGAGAAATACGAAATCACACCCTAAAATTCGACACCATTTTTGTTTTTCCAGCACATGAGCTTTACAGATGTTTTTTTATGGTCCAATTGAAATATTCCAACACACGAAAGGAAGTTTTAGTTTCGTTTTCGTTATCTTTTCTTTTTTTTGGGATTTTTTGCATTATATCAGCAGGCGCACCCTCCCGACTGTTGCGATTGAGACGAGTTTGGGTTGCTCGACTTGAGGTTGACATCAACCATATCCTCTTGCTTTGCGGATGATAGGGTCTCCATTCCAGGCAATGCTGCAGCAATTTTTCTGAATAAGGCCTGAAAACAAGATAATATTTTTAAACATCAAGGGCCTCTACTAAAGCTTTAATTAATTGTTGGAATGTTTCATGAATAACTGCAAAATCATAATTTCCCTTGAGGTTTTGTCCAAATTATTGTTATGCAAAAAAAAAAAAAAGATTATTCACATTGCTTTGGTGGTGGTATTCTTTTTAGTATTTGTTGTCGTTATCAAATATTTTTACAATATCATCCCTCTAGTTGGTACAAGTAACCACATTTTTATCTTTCATTTGTTATATTACACCCCTTGGGCTTTTCTACAAATCTTGGCGTAACAGTTGGATATTTTCTAATATTTTGAAATATTAGCAGATGTAACTCTCTCTCTCTCTCTCTCTCCCTCTCTCTCTCTCTCTCTCTCTCTCTCTCTCTCTCTCTCTCTCTCTCTCTCTCTCTCTCTCTCTCTCTCTCTCTCTCTCTCTCTGTGTGTGTGTGTTTGTGTGTGTGCCTATTTTACAAATACCCCTAACCTAGCCTTTTCTATCCATCCCAATATTTAATGTCAGTGTTGTGGGAAATTTATATAGTGGTTGTCAATGACAAGGCTAGGATATTCCAGGTGAAAACTAGACACAAGTACTAGTATAAAGTATAAACATTAATGATGTACTATATTTTACTGCTACTCCATTCAAATGTAAGTGAATCCAGAAGCTGGGAAAGTGAATATTTCACAAACTAAAAACCAGAAGAGAAATGGCCGAGTTTTGCTACCTTTATATTGAAGCCAGCTTTGGCACTAGTTTCAATGAACATGACACCGAGGTCACGAGCTTTGCCTTCTCCTTCTTCTATTGAAACTTGCCTGGATATAAAAATTGTTGGATGTATGAGGCAATAATCATCTAACAAATAAAGTCTCCAAAGTCATATCTTATATGCAGAATGTCACAAACTATTTGATTAGGCTCAGGCATAACAAAAGTAGGAACTCTTAATTTCCAACAAGCTGTACATCCTTCTGAAGCAGATTCAATATTTTGGTTAAAAAATGTTTTACTAACACTATTCTCATGTTATTATAACCAGTATGACTGGTCGGATACACATCATTAAGTTTGGAATAAAGACCTCAAGCAACACCAGAATAACTAGAAACAATAAGCAAAAGATTTTTTTCTGGATAGTTACTTAAATGGGATCTATTTCAAGGAAAATCACAAACAAAGCGTAAAACAGAAAAATTCATACCTCTTATCCACCAAATCAGTTTTGTTTCCAACTAGTACAATGATAACATCACTTCCTCTCTCATTACGGACCTCCTCAATCCATTTTGATGTATTGAGAAAAGATTGTCGACCTAATCATCAGTAATTTTATTGTGCAAAAGGAATGCCAGTCAAGTCAGAGGCATGCGGAAAGGTTCAGAAACAAAATTTAAATTAGATAGGTATTAAGAATAGACAACCCCATACTTGCAACATCAAATACGATGACTGCAACAGAGGAGTCCCTTATATAGCTTGGGATGAGACTCCTAAATCTTTCTTGCCCAGCAGTATCCCTGAACATACAAAAAAATACAAATTATATCTTCTGAAAAGTCATCACGGAAGTTGCGAAATTGAAGAAAAGAGACACTGGTTCTCGTCCAGTAAAATGAAGAATAGATAATCTGCCACTCAAAACACAATACTGGATGGGAAATATGACTATATGCAAGTCAACGTCACAAACTAGCACAAGAAACAAATTTGTGTCTAGTGCAAAACTACTCCAGGGACCATGAGACCAAACTGACTTCAACAAACAGATATTTTGTGCTCTAGCAAACAGAAAACATTTCTATGTCTGGAGGAAATAAGTAAAAACTAGACATACATAACCGCGGTGGCAAACATTGCTCAGCATGTGTACAAAGAGCAAACAGAAGAATTATGGCCCAACCACTACTTCAAAGTCATTTTCCTCCTTGAAATCTTTATCAAATCAAAACTGAAATGCAAAGGATATATATGGGGAGAATGCTCTCAACAAGACTGGTGTGATACTGGTCAGAAACAAATTATCTATCATGAATCACGTCTTCTTACCACAACTGCAGACGTACAGTTCGATCTTCAAGGTACATAGTCTTCGAAAGGAAATCAATGCCAATAGTAGCCTGAAAGGAAAATCACGGTATATGACAAATAGGAGAGTGACCTTCGCATTCCCATTTTCACACATATTCTTGGTACATACTTATTATCATTATAATAAACTGAAAAAGAATACATCGAACAAAGAGGGCTGTCCTAAAACTTCTCATGAATATCATTTTTTCAATTTTCCAGACCCCAATCAGCTGGAATCACAAACTAGTTTCAGACATTCGCGGAGCCATCGAAGATTAGCTTACGAGTTATAACATATCACAATAAAACATGATCATCACCATAACCAACTTAAACTACAACTACGCCACGCAATAGCTATTGCACGATAATCAACTACCCTTACTAAGAACAGTCTTTATCTTAATATCACTGACAAAACTAAGATACGAATCGAGCTGATTAAACGACATAAACTAAATCCAGGCAGCTAAAAAACCACATCAATCCATGAAAACAACAGAATTTCTGATAATCAGGCATAAAACGGATCAGATCCGTACATCTTAAGCCTTTTATCCCCTACATACAATGCAGCAGGAGCTCTATAAACAAAGTCGGCCTCGAACTGAATGCTCACCTGATAAGTGTTGTCGAATTTATCGTACATGAAGCGAGTGATGATGCTCGTTTTCCCGACCGATTGATCTCCGAGGAACACCAGCTTGTACTTCGCAAGAGCCGAAACCGGAGCCATCGGTCAAATTCGCGTCGGCTGAGATTTGAAACGGTGTTGGATCTTCAAACTCGGATCCGATGCAGCTGTTTTACGACGTGCAGATCAGGATCTCCACGGAAAATTGAACGGGAAATTTGCCGGAGGTCGATGCGGTGAAATTTGTTGGTTTGCGCGTAGGTGATGGACAGTTCGAATTGAAGAGGGACACTGCCGTATTAAGTCAAGTGCAGCGGAAAAAGCAGTATTTTTATATTCTATTCTATTGATTTAAAAAATTTAACATCAATAATTTTTATCTCTATTTCTATGTTAAAGGGAAAAATCTCATATATAAAGGGAAAAATCTAATATCTTGTCTCATATATAAATGAATGATTTTACGGTCCCGTTACGAAACTATTTGTAATCGTTAGATCAATTATCCACGACGGTTACATGATGATCTAACGATTACAATCTCGACGGAAGGGTACCGTAAATTGTGGCATTTCCCTAAATGAACAAAATCAATGCAAATCTTACGTGTGTCAAGATTTATAACTATAGATTTTCCAAACCAACATGTCGTGCTTGCAATCCTATGGGTCGATTTTTTTTATATACATCATATTCTATCTATGTATTTCAAATTATTTTAGATTTGGACTTTTATTCATGACTTTTCAAATTATAAAACACATCATCAACTTAAATTATATTATAAACGTATGACTTTATTTATTTGTTATCGAATTCTTTTTTTTTTTGGTACAATGTTATCGAATTCTTTATATAAGATATATAAATTTAACCATTTATTGACATATTCAATTTATATCCATATTGCGTGTAAAAGAATACTATTACCTTTATAAATAAAAATAAATAATCAATAATTAAATTTATATATGAAATTCATATGGTATGACTTATACAAATTATTAAACCCTGAAATTGTAAGATTGTGTTTACAGAACATACAACACTAACACTGAACTTCCAGAATCTAACTCCCATCAAAAGAAATCCAAGAGAAAAGGAACAAAAATATATTCACAATCTTACTATTCTTAAACCCTTAATTACCCTATCCGAACCAAACTCATAACCGAAAGCGCAAGAGTCGAAAGCCTAGACTCGTCGCTATTTCTCTCGTTCAAAGGAGAAACCGAGCCCTCTCTCTCCTCAAACCCGTCCTCGCAAGTCGTGACATCATCGATGATCGAACTCATTGCCACGTTGGCATCCTCAAATTCCGACGCGTCGTAATAACTCGTAGCTTGATCAGCGTAAGCGATCCCGTCCGAATAAAGCTCGAGACAATCGTCCAAACATTGCCTAACGTATGGTTCGATGTAAGAACGTGTGTCTTTCGTAATGCGTTCGATGTAAGAACGCGTGTCGGTTAGGTTGTTGAGAACGAGCGTGATGAGGATTTTGCCGAGACCGTTCAGGGTGGAACACGACCGTGTGGCGGGGGACGATTGCAGTACAGTTTTGCAGAAATCGTAGTCGATGTTCGGGTCGTTTCGAGACGAGGCTCGGCACGTCGAGTCAATTAGGTTTTGGGATTTGGTGGTCATTATGAGGAGGATGAGGATCATGAAGAAGGTAATTGATGGGGTGAATAATGAGTATGCCTTCATTTTTTATTTTTTATTTTTTTATTTTTTGTAGAGGTTAAAAATGAAATGGTTTTCTTTTCTTGGTGATGGTTTGAATTTGGATGTGTCATAAGTTTGTATGATAGATGGCTTTATATAGTGGAGTGGTGATGTTCACATTTGAGAGAATATAGATATGATTAATTATTACAATTGAGCTTTATAACTTATAAGTACATATTGGCTTAGTTTGTGTTCCATAAATTTTAGTTACACAATATCTAGTGGATATGATTAATTATATATTACAAGGTGTTTTACACAAGTTCTTGTATGACCTCATCTCATATAACTTTAACAAAAAAATATAGTTAAGCTATGATAATAAAAAAAAAAAAAAAAAAAAAAAAAAAAAAGATTAACTTAGACAATCATATATTAGTGGAGTACATTTTCTTGGTTGAAATTTTTAGGACCAATAGCTTTGCATGGTATACACTGTGACTCATGAAAACATTAAATTTAACATGTGCAGCTTGAAGAAAAAGAAACAAAAAGAATCATGAAAATGTATGTATCTTTAATTTGTAAAGCAACTGATCCCAAGTAGTTTAGAAAAAAAAGATAGAATTATTTAGTTATTTTATCTTAGAACTATGAAAAAAGATCATGAAGATTAGCCATAAATGAGAACTTGTGATAAGAATGAAAGTCTGGTAGAGAGAATTTGTAAGCTACCCTAAGAAAATGGCAACTCTAACTTCAAGCATGGGGTGTCCATGACTATTTTTAGAAAAATTGAAACGAATTTTTAACTAAGTGTTGTATACAAGCAACCATTTTTTGAGAGTATAAGCCAAGGCTTTGAAAATCCTCATTTCTTAGTTTTTTTTTCCTTCTTGTTACATGGGCTTTAGGCCCACACCAAAATCGGGACCTGAGTGCGGCCCGATGTGGTTTGGGCTTTGGGGCATCGAAGAGTGACTGCTGATGTGGATAACCAAATTGTCGTAACCATGTGAAGAGATCTTCAACAGAGAATTGGGGGATGCACGGTGCTGTCGTACGGGCAATACGAGAGTTGTTGCAACGAGATTGGACATTGAATATAACGCACTGCATCGTGAAATGAATTTTTTCGCGGATTGTCTGGCAACCTTAGCTCACTCATGTCCTACGAATTGTCAGAAATTACTCACTCCACTTTTAAAAATCAAACCGTGGTAATTGCATGATGCCATTAGCGTCGCTCATCCGTGGAATGTTATTCTCTAAAGGCTTATGCTTCGGCCTCTTTCCCTTTGTACCAAAAGAGAAAAATGGGAAATAGAGAAATTAATTAGAGTAGAGGGGTGGGAAAGCGAAATAAACAAAACTTTTAAACCCCAAAAAATACCACTCTTCCCCAAGTCCTCTCTCACCCCAAAGCCCCCAGATAAGAAAAACCACACACCAAAATCCTTTCATTTCAACTGAATAGAGATAACAATCCCAAAAAAAAGCGAGAGACCCTGAAAACCAGGTGCACCGCCAAACTTTAAAATGGCGAGTTTGAGAACAGCCATGGACGCCGCGTTCTGTGACCTCAACATTTCAACTCCGCAAGCATTCCACGGCGTAGCTCGGGCCGTCCCAGGGGATCCTCCACCCCTCGACGGCGCAAGGGCCAGCAAAATCCTCAGAATCCAGCAGCTTTCCTTGTTGGGAAATGGGTTTCCTCTGGGTGTTATTCCATTCATTTCGCCTTCCCCTAATCATAAGGAGTTGGGCTCTCTCGCGCTGCAATCCCTCATCGGAAAAGTTTGTATGGGTGACTGGTATTGTTTTTGCATTTTTTTTTTCAAGTTTATCTTTTTGTGTGTGTGTGTGTGTGTGTGTGTTTTGATAGATGTGGGTTGTGTGTTGAAATGGGTTTAATTTTTGTCATTGGAATATTTGAGTTTTTGTTGAATTTGATGAAAAGCAAAGTAAATCAAAATATAGAGAGTTGTCTGTTTGTATTTTGTATGGGATTTTATAAGGGTGTTTATGTGGGTTTATGGGATTGTTATTGATAGTTGTACTTCATGTACAGTGTGTGTGTGATAGACGTGGTTTGTTCGTTGAAATGGACCAAATTATTGTCATTGGAATGTTTGAGCTTTTGTTGAACCAGATGAAAAGCAAAGTGAATCGAGGTAAAGAGAGTTGTCTCTCTGTATTTTCTATGGGATTTTGTAAGGAGGTTTATGCGGGTTTATGGGGTCGTTATTGAGAGCCGTAATTCATGTATACACACTAGCTAGTGTGTGCGCGTGTGTGTGATAGATGTAGTCTGTTTGTTGAAATGGGTTTAATTCTTGTCATGGGAGTGTTTTAGCTTTTGTTGAACCTGATGAAAGGTAAAGTGAATCAAGGTAAAGAGAGTTGCCTGTTTGTATCTTGCATGGGATTTTTGTAAGGATGTTTTTGAGATTGTTATTGTTATTTTAGTTCATGTTTACACACTAACTAGTGTGTGTTTACTGCTTAGGTGCTTATGTATACTATGTCCTCAGAGCTTAGGCTCGTGTTTTATCACACGTTTTCGGCAAATTTATGCCCTCGCAGCAAGTGTCTACATACACAAATTCTTGAATGAGGCGGCCTAACCATTAGGCGGATTGAACCCGTCATACTTTTTTAACAACTATGCATACTTGTACCATAGAATGTCATACTCTTGTTCATATTGTTTTTAGAGTATGATATTTCAGTTTGATAGTAATGCACTAATGCATATCTGTTGAAAAAGCATAGTTGTCTGAACATTAGGCTTGCTTCCCTAACTGGTCTGTATATTTAACTAACTTGTACCTATACTAATTTGACGACTCAATTTTACACATGTTCTGCATTTGATTAACAACCCTTTTTTTTTTCTTTTTATGCAGGTGGGTTGGATTAGTTGGGCAATTTCGTCCCAAGAAATTGTTATCGTCTATTAAAGCTGAAGCTTCAACTGCAGACCCTTGGCAGCTGCCATTCCTTAAAAATTCGGCTAAGCATTTTTTGGATAAATCACTCTATAAGATTGGCTTATGCGCACAAATAGCACTAACATCATCGTCTTCTTTGCTTTTTAGCACTGAAAATCATGGTGAGGGAAAAAAACGACGCACAAAGGCCATGCTCGTTCACCAGGCAAAGTTTTGAACTTTACCGTTGCTCTTTTGCAATGAAATAGAATGTTTCTACAGTTTTAGGAAAATAAACCCTGACATTTATCCCAATTAGATATTAAAAATACTCGTTTGACACTTGTTTGTTTCTTCAACAAGTGGCATTTGGGAGGAGGATATTTCTTATAGATGAAAAAAAATGTCAAGGGAATGTATGTTTTGAATGATAAATGAATTTATTTTTATCTTTATCTTCGTTTTTTTTTTTTTTTGCTTTTAATTTTCTTATAAATTAGGCTAATTCAGTGATACTTTCTGCAAGTATCCTTGTTTTATTACCTGCTTACTCGCGTATGAGATCTTTCAGCTTGTATTTGCACTTACTAGTCATGCTCTTTTACTTTCTCAAGCAAAAAAAAAAAAAAAGGTGATTCATTTTGCGCACGTGCTTGCTCTAGTCAGTTCATTCGTTCAATTAAATTTATTCTGGTTTTGTTAAATTTTTGCCTCTCTTTCATTTACAGCTTCCAGATCACGATCTCACTTTAGAAGCTGCATGGCCCGAGCTTTTCATAGACAGCAAACAGAATTACTGGGAAGTACCTGAATCTATATCATTAGACTGCTCGTCCATCGTCTCGGATTCTGGATTGAGATATCGTTTTGGGATTTATAAAAATAGCGGCCTCCCAAAGGCTGTTGATGCACCTGTAGATGCTCAATCTCCTCTTGCCTTATCTCCTGGGCTATGTGCAAAAGCTGCTTTTTCTATTGAGAAGTCGAAGGACTTGTGGAGGGTAATAGCAAAGGAGGAAGATGATGTTATTATCAAGACAAAATATCATCAAATATATCGCCCCTCGTATGATGTACGTCTCAAGGAGCCTCACTTAAACATTTCTGGAATAATAGGTAATTTCTCCAGATATAATAATTATTAAAAAAAAATGTTAATAGGCCAAAAACATGCAGGGTCACATAATTTTATTTTTTCCTTTTTTTTTTTCGCTTGTCTCGTTTTAATTGATTAGTTGTTCGATTATATAACGTGTTATTAGTTTGTGAAATATAGGTGGTTATTGTGAGTCGTGGTTGGCTGGTTTGAAAGAGAATAGAAGTCGTTTCGGTGCTGATGTATTTGGTTCGGCAAACTGTTCTTTTCAACTCGGTAAGTTCAGAAATAATTTCTTGGACCTAACCAGGATAGATGCTCGTCTGGATATTTGTTCCGCCTCAGCTTTAGCCAAGGGTCTTTTCAGTAATCCACCACAAAATGATTTGTCCTCTCCCAAACTGAATTTCATTTTCCAGCAACAGGTAAAGCTATACCGTCCCTTTATTCTTATACTGCTTGAATGTATCATTTTTTTTTT